AAGATGACTGTTTTTTTAAAAAAAGGGTCGTCTATTGTATGTAAAGATGACAGTTTTCATAAAAAACCGTCATCTTTACGTACAATACACGACGGTTTTTAAAACCGTCGTCTTTCATCCTATAATTAACGATCTTTACCTTTAAACAACAACGATTTTCTTTAAAAACCGTCGTCTTTACAGATAAACAACGACGGTGAAAAGCCGTCGTAGTTTGACACCCAAATAGACGGCGGTCGATTTAACGACGGATTTCAAAGCATTACAACGACGGTGGATCCCCGTCGTCTATTTCGTTTTTTGTAGTATGGAATCGTGAGATTCAATTGAAATTTAAGTTCAATTTGTATATTTGACTTACTTTTAAAACTAAACCACAAAAACCAAAGACATAAAAAATAAAAATGAATATTTAGAAAAAATAATGCGAGCAAGAAAGACTACATAATTTTCAATCCAGGAGAAAATAAGGTATACACTACATGAGGAACTTTTTTTGGGTTCATGAGATCTTGATCTTGCTAATTTCTTCCAAAAAAATTCATCTTATTTGCTTATATAAGTTGAACTAAGCCTTTAATTTTGCAGGAAGGGATTGTTGATGTGAGTTAACTGAACAAATCAAGGAGATTTATTTCCTAAGTTAATTAGGTGATTTACTTCCTTGTTTACATATAGTTGACAATCATTGTATAATTAGGAGATAATCTCCTAATTAATTAGGTGATTCCAGACCTATCCTTGTTCATTCTATTTTCTGTTTTCCATTGTTTTTGCTTCTGCTAATTAAACTACCTAAATTCTCAATTCACCCATATCCTACATCATCATGGTTATTAGATTAGGTTAATGTTATACCTAGTCATTTTTTATGGCTGTGATAATCAATGACTCAGCAAAATCAAAGGTTGGCAAAGGTAAATTCTATTAAATTTCATATAGATGGGTCAACGGCCCACTATTAGCAACACCGATATTGTCCCCAACTTAACCACTTACAAAGCCCCATAGGTGTGGGGTTTTATCACAAAAGGCCTCGATGATATCAGTAGTGGAACTATTCATTATATCTTGTATTTTATTTAGTCAAGTTTTCGATGTGGGACTTACATTCTTCAACACGCCCCCTCACGTGAGACCACCACATAGTTGGCCACACATGGGGCCAAGTCCACATCAGAGTCAAATATTCAAGCCCAACACGTGAACTGTATTGGGTAAAGGGTAAAGGTAAACATTCAAGCCCAACATGTGAACACCACATAGGGTAAGGGTAAAGGCCAAATATTTTAGGCCCAGTCATTCAACTCGCTTTGATACCTTGTTAAATTTTAGAGAGAAGGGTCAGCGGCCCACTACTAGCAACACCCATATTGTCCCCAACTTAACCATCTACAAAGCCCAATAAGTGTGGGGTTTTATCACAAAAGGCCTCTGTGATATTAGTAGTGGAACCATTCATTATATCTTGTATTTTATTTAGTCAAGTTTACGATGTGGGACTTGTATTCTTCAACAAATTCTGCATTACATTCATTAGAAAGCATTTTAAGTATGACTAGACATCATTTGTGTAACATTTGGACAACCAGCTCATCTGCTTTCTCAAGTGTCTCCAACTGTGTGTTTTTAATGAATTTTGTTTTTTTCTTAGTCCAATTATTTGCTGCCATGTGCCTTTTCCTCTAACCTACCTATTTAGGGTAAAATGAGAGCAAAGGGCCTTTGATTTGTCACTTGCTTAGAAAAAGGTTTTGAGAGTTTTCCATTTTTGCTCTGCAACTCTTCTCTAAGTGAGGGATGTTTCTTTCAAAATGAGATTTTCAAATTGCATTTGAAACATGCTTTTAAGATTAAAATATGCATCTAGAATAGTCAATCATATTCTCATCTAGATCTAGGTCAGATTCTCAAATCAATTTCTTTAAGAATGGTTTCTTAAAGAAATCAATTTTTCCTTAGAATCTACAGTTGCCTTCATGTGTTCTTCGAGAGCTGAGCCGCCGGTGTCATGGAGTGAAGGAGCTGATGGACTAGCTACCAATTCCATGAAAGACTAGCTGCTAGTTCTTTCTAAGCTTGGAGAAGAAGGTTGCACAAAGAGGTATAGCTTTTCCTAAATAGACCTAGGATTCTTGAGCTTGTGGTTGTAATATTTGTAAGAACCTTCTTTTCTTAGTGGATTGCCTAGTCAGGTGATGACCCCCAGTTTTTCCCAATGGTGGGTTTCTGGGTGAACAATTTTCTGGGTTTGATGTTCTTGACAGTTGACTAGTCATAATCTGCTGAGTATTTCTATTATGATTCAATGGATGTTCACACACTCTACACATTAGTTGTTGCTAGCACAGGGAATGCCTAGATTGACGGGTCCTTCTGAGTGCCTAGGTTGTCACTAGAATTCTTCTAGGTTTGCAGGTGCTGATTGTTGAGTTAGGTTACTTATGTGTTTTGCTTACTTGTTCATAGGTCTATGACTAGTTGTTGACTAGTTATATTGTCTCCCGGATTGTTTGATTATTGTTGTTATCAATCTATTTGAGTAAGCTTTAAATTTACCCCTTTCACCTAAATACCAATTTCAGTTGGTATCAGAGCGTCAACTCTTAATGCAAATAGAGAGGTCCTAGGGCGCTAGTTGGTGTTTAGGTGGTGCTACCATGGAAAGGGAAAAAGTTGGAGGCTCTAGCAACTCTCCTCCATACTCCTCAGCTAGGCATATAGTAGGCATACTCAAATTCAGAACTTTCTTTTGCTTGCACGCAGCAAAGTAATCACAATCACAATCGAGGGCGATAGAAATTATATATGGGGGAAGTAAGAAACTATGATCGGAGCTCCCGATGACGATGATAATTTCGATTTGCTTTTCTTGAATTCCTTTAAAGAAGGAGCTTTTGCACTGCCTCCTGCATCATCTAAGACCTGTTAAATGAGGTCGAAAAAGGCACGCGTGCTCTTCGAAATGTAGCTTTATAGCAATTTTGTAGTAGTGACTTCTTAAAAATCTAGAAAAATTATACGGCCCTCATTTGTTTTTAAAAACTATAACAAATTAATATGTTTTTAAATCTACCTTTGAGACGATCTAACAACAAAGAATCTGACTATCCTATTAATAACTTTTTCCGTAAATTTTGGTAAAAACAAAGACTTTATAATGCACAAAAGTCATCCATAGTACCAAGTGGTGAAGTCTTTAAATACATAAGACTCTGTTACTTTAGTGAACGATGCCTAATGCGTAATGGCATCATTATTATTTTTTTCCCTATATGCCTAGCTATGGTGTGTTGTTTGAGATCAAATTTGTAGTAGTGACAGAATAGAAAAGGACATGTTACTTGCCGTGGTTTTATGTATATATATTTTTTGCCGTGGTTAACTATACAGACATGGTGACTTGAGTAGCTCTTTCAGTGATTGGGTGGGCAGCTTGACTGCAGCAAAAAGAACAGCAACTGCAGGAATTTGACATCGCTACAGAAAGAATTGGACATGGGGTGCCTGATGTTTACAAAATCTGGGCTTATCTTTTCTGCTCCCAGCTGTCCTCCTGGACATCAGTTGGGTTGTTATTTGCTCTTGGGCCTCTCAGTTAACCATAACCACGTATAAAAAGAAAAAAAAGGTCGGCTGATTTGTGTCTGGTTTCAAGAATCTATCCACGTTGATAAATGTTTTCTCAGGTGAAGAAAACAAAAATGTAACGCGTTATAGTAGAAAAACATAAACGACACAGCAAAATATTACAAGTATTTGTATTTGTATTTCATAGAAAATAACCCATTATAATCACCACCACCTAATTAATTGGTCACTTAACCCTGTCATTATTCATTAACAATGAAATAAATAAGAAAAATACTGGCTTTAATTTCATTGAGAAAAAGGACAAGAAAGCGTACAGTTGGACATGATGTTTGTAGTTATGCAGCAGCAGCCAGCCACCACACCATGCACTAATATATCATATGATTCTTACCCTTTAATTTCGTAGACCCCATGCACTTTGATTATTACTTCACTTGCATTAGAGCATTTCCAGCAATGCAGCCAAGGGGAGGGCTGGGGGGCAAGCCCAAAATCGTGTTTCCAGCAACAAAACTTGGCCCGGGCAAGCAGTGGGACCCAGCGAACTAGGCTGGCCCGAGGGCAAGTCTAGCCCCAGGTCCAAAACGAGGGCAAGCTGATGTCACGATGACGTCAGCGCTACAGTCCCACTCTGCCACGTGTCGAGTTCTGAGTTGTCCGATCAGAATTTTTCCTCAAATCCAACGGCAGCCAATTTTTGTGCAATAAAAAAATGAAAAAAAATCAAATTATAAAAAAAAAAAAACTAAAAAAATACGGAATTTTTTTTTTCTATAAATACCAACCAATTCTCTTCACTTTTAACACCAAATCCTTGTACATTTTATTCTTCTTTCTACTATTATTAGGCTGGAAGTGCTCTTATTATATGTTTATTATAATATATAATAGACACCGAAATGACTGGATTGCCCATGCACAACTTTGCAATATAATATATTGAAGTGCAGCATGGCTAATATAGTCATTATCATGAGGAAGAAGCCGAGTGGTACTCGTTGGTATAAAAGAAAGCCGAGCACTCAGCAAAACCATGTTGTGTTTGTATCTCTACAACTTCACAAGACAAAGAAGAAGAAGAGATAAAGAGAGATGGAGGGTGCCACAGCTACTGCCGGGAGAGCAATGACGAACGGTGGAGATTTGTCCAGGAGGAAGAGAAATAAACAACACAGATAGACACTACATTCTTGGGAGAATAGGCTCTTTCATTCAAATTCAGTTCCCAAATGACATTGGTAACATACCAATTTAAGGACTTATCATAATTAAAGACTCTGCATCATCCTACTAATACATAAAACTAACTCACTAATTAATACATGAGCTTATTAAAAAAGAGAATAAGAAAAGTCTCAATATAATAACAAATTAAAACTTCTTGAATGCAATGATCAAGCATATCCGGTTTAGTTCTCCAACAGTACGAAATGAGGCATTGCAGACAGATTATGATCATTTGTGAAGGCGATAGGAAGGAATAGCAATTAGACGTTTTGCCCTTGCAACCGTTATGCCAAACACCTCAGTCATGTCCAATTCTTCTGGCAACATGTTATTCGGAAGTTCCCAATCAAAACAATGGACAAGTTGTGCCAACATTAACTGGACCACCATAAGGCCTAACTGAATTCCTGGGCAACGTCTTCGGCCAGAGCCAAATGGGATAAGCTGAAAGTGATTTCCTCTAACATCAACATCGCTACCCTCAAATCTTTCTGGTATGAACTCCTCTGCATCGGTCCAAGCACTCGGGTCTCTCCCGATTGCCCACGCATTTATGATAACGCGCGATTTTTTGGTTATGTGGTAGCCATTGACGGTGCAGTCTTCAGTGGCAGCATGAGGAACCAACAATGGCGCAACTGGGTGTAGCCTCATGGTTTCCTTCACTACCATGCTCAAATAGTCCAATTTCCCCAAGTCTGATTCCTCCACCATTCTCCCCAATCCAACAACATCTTCTAGCTCCTTTTGGACTTTCTTCATTGCCTTTGGATGCCTCATAAGCTCGGACAGTGCCCACTCGACCGTAACTGATGATGTGTCAATGGAGCCCACCAACATATCCTGCAAGGAAATTTGCCATTTTTTCACGTAATGTGGTGTAGAAGACATAGTCGAAACTATATACGCATGATAAATAACAAAAGGGACATGTATAACAGATCAATTGAAACAAAATTACACATAATAAATGGTTCAGATTTACAATCTTAAACTTTGACATGTTAAATTGTCTCAAAGAAATGATTTCGTTTTACTTCGAGTAATGCTAGAATAGAAGGACAAAGAATATTTAAAATGATGCAACGATTTGGTGTTTAGTGCCACCATGCCTATATGTCTAAGTTTTTGTGTATACTAACAAATATTATGGCTTTGATATGAGGGCGTTCGATTCGGTATTCAGATTGTTCAGATCCCATGAAGGCCACCATGACATCAACAAAGTCTTTAGTCCTTTCTCCCTCGTTAGATTGAATATGCTCGTCAATGACCTTCTCAAAGAAGGTATCAAACGCCTTGTTAACAGACTTCATCCGCTTCGTGAAACCTTGGAGGTCGAAGGGAGCTATAAAAGGAATGTAATCACCCAAGTTAGCGGCGCCTATCAATTGGACAACCTCTTCGATCACAGATCTGAAACCCCTCGCATCAAACTCCTCATCCCTATACATCTTCCCAAGCACCATCCGGCAGCTCATGACCACGCTGAGAGATGAGACATTGTCACTCAGATCAACAGCGACACGTCCATTATCGGCAGTGGCTCGAATAGACTCAACACAGAGAGCAATCGCGTCTCTCCTCATGGACTTGAAGGAGTTGATTTTGTGGTTGCTGAGCAACTCAAGGGTGCACATCTTCCTCGTGTCGCGCCAATATGCACCATATTCAGAGAAAACCAAGCTCCTTTGCCCAAAAGAGATGAGCTTTGCTCCTTCATGTGGTGGCCTACTTGCAAAAACAAGGTCGTGTGTTTTGAGGAACAGCTCGGCAGCTTGTGGAGATGAGACAACAATGGTGTGCATAAGGCCTAATCGCATGTACATGATGTCGCCGTATTTTTGGGCCAACTGATGAAGATCCTTGTCGGGGAACTTCCCTAGCAAGTGAAGGCTTCCAAAAATGGGAAACCCTCTTGGACCATGAGGTAACATCTTCTTCTTGTTCTTCCACCATGCTTGCAGGATATAAACAAGGGCAAGCAACCCAATTGTTGCCCAAATCCAAACCATTGCTCTTTGAGGATGAGCTCAAATGGTTGACTAGTTGAGTGTGTCTAAGAAGAGAGAAGTCTCTCTATGCTCTTCTCTGTATACTTAGTCTCGTTGTGTTTAATGAATGAGGATGCGTGGAAGATCCAAACATCACACGCTTCTTCATCTACGACCATACATAAAATATCCCAAGGCACCATTTCAAATGAAGCATCAAGATTGAATCGTACATGCCAGAATGCAATAGCTACCCTACCACAAACTTAAGTTGGTCCTTATCCAATAATTCTATTCTATTATGGAGCAATACAGTATACATAGCGTTTTTGTTCTGCCTATACAGCTCGGACCTTTCGTCCATATGAGCTTGATAAAAATATAGCTCAGACCTTTCGTCCATCAGAGCTTGATAAAAAATACAGCTCGGACCTTCCGTCCATATGAGCTTGATGAAAATATAGCTTGGACCTTTCGTCCATCAGAGCTTGATAAAAATACAGCTCGGACCTTTCGTCCATATGAGCTTGATGAAAATAGAGCTCGGACTTTTCGTCCATCAGATGAGCTTGATAGAAAATACAGCTCGGACCTTTCATCCATCAGAGCTTGACAAAAAATACAGCTCGGACCTTCCGTCCATATGAGCTTGATGAAAATATAGCTCGGACCTTTCGTCCATCAGAGCTTGATAAAAAATACAGCTCGGACCTTTCGTCCATATGAGCTTGATGAAAATATAGCTCGGACTTTTCGTCCATCAGATGAGCTTGATAAAAAATATAGCCCAGACCTTTCGTCCATCAGAGCTTGATAAAAAATAGAGCTCGGACCTTTCGTCCATATGAGCTTGATAAAATATAACTCGGACCTTTCGTCCATCAGAGCTTGATAAAAAATACAACTCGGACCTTTCGTCCATATGAGCTTGGCCGAAATCGAGCTTAGACCTCCGTCCATATGTGCTCGATAAAAAGTATAGCTCGAACTCTTGCTTCTCGACTTGAATGTGGCACTTTGAGTCACCTTGTCAAGGCTTGGAGAGACAATACGTGGGAAAAGGAATCCAAATTTTATTCACTAACCAAAAAGTTGAAAATAGAACAAGAGCGAGCTCGAATGCTGGCTGACTAAATTGAAGAACTAAAAAACTACTTCATGAACTATCATATCAAGATAGTTCCACACTGAATGAAGAGAAAAAGGAATGTGAAAAATCTAAATCTCAAACTAATGATCTAACTCTGATAGCATGTAGACGGTGAGGAAGTCACTGGTAATACTTCTTTAAATGCTCGGCGTTCCAAGGATGAGGCAAATTTGCTCCCTTCAGATCCCTTAGTCGATAGGTGCTCGGGCGCACAACGTCAACGACACGGTAAGGCCCTTCCCAGGTCGGTCCTAAGCTTCCATCTGAAGGTTTGCGAGTAGCCAGCATGACCTTGCGAAGTACTAGGTCACCAACCTGGAACGCTCGGTGTTTGACACGAGAGTTGTAGTAGCGAGCTACACGTTGCTGGTATGAAGCATTGCGCAGCTGAGCCTGGTCTCGTCGTTCATCTACTAAGTCCAGGTTAAGATTCATCTGGTCGTCATTTGCTTTGGCCTGGAACACTTCCACTCTGTGCGTAGCCATTCCAATCTCGACAGGCACTACAGCTTCGGCTCCAAAAGCAAGGGCATATGGGGTGTCTCCCGTGGATGTTCGGTGTGAAGTTCTATACGCCCAAAGGACTTGGGGTAATAGTTCAGCCCATGCCCCTTTAGCCTTGTCTAGCCTTGTTTTCAAGTTCTTTTTTATCAACTTATTGATTGCTTCAACTTGGCCGTTAGCTTGAGGATGAGATGGAGATGCAAAGAAATGCTTGATGTTGAGTTCGGCACATAACTCACGAAGCTTGGCATTATCAAATTGCTTACCGTTATCGGTAACTATGGAGTGTGGGATACCAAACCGGCATATGATGTTCTTCCAAAGGAACGCGGTGCAGTTCTTCTCAGTTATTGTAGCTAAGGGTTCAGCCTCAGCCCATTTGGTGAAATAGTCTACTGCAACAATTGCAAACTTGGTCTGACCTTTTCCCTTTGGCATAGGTCCAATGAGGTCAATTCCCCATTGAGCAAAGGGCCAAGGACTACTAATCGGAGTCAAATCCTCTGGTGGTTGATGGGGAACCACCGCGTATTCTTGGCACTTGGGACATGTTTGAGCAATCTTCTTGGCATCAGCTTGGAGCGTTGGCCAATAATATCCTTGTCTGAGAGCTTTGTGGCAAGAGATCGAGTGCCTGAGTGATTTCCACAAACACCTTCGTGGATCTCACGAAGTACATAGTTAGCCTCATCAGGTGTTAGGCATCGTAGGTATGGCAAAGAGAAACCTCTTTTATATAACTTGTTGTTGATGATCAGATATCGGGATGACCTATACCGTACCCGTCGAGCTTCTGCTTTATCCTCAAGTAGGACTCCACGAGCTAGATAATCATGTATTGAATCCATCCAAGTTGACTCGGAACTAATAGGGAACACTTCCACGCAATCTTCCTCTATGCTAGGTTTCTCCAAGAATTCCACCGGGATAGATCTCCCCAGGTCGATATCAAAAGAAGATGCCAATCGAGCAAGGGAGTCAGCTTTTGTATTCTCAAGTCGAGGGATTTGAATGATTTCATAACCAATTAAATCATCCAACAACTTCTTGACCTTGGCCAGGTAGGCAATCATGCTTTCATCTCGAGCTTGGTATTCCTCAGTGACATGATTTACTACCAACTGGGAGTCGCTGAAAATGCGGAGCTGCTTAACACCGAGCTCGGAGGCTAAGCGAAGTCCTGCAAGGAGTGCTTCATATTCAGCTTCATTATTTGAGGCCTTGAACCCAAACCGTAAGGCATACTGGGTCTCATCGTCTTCTGGTGAGGTTAACACTAACCCTGCCCCACTTCCTTGTTGATTTGAGGCACCATCAACATGTAGAATCCAAAGTGGAAGGTTAGGTCGTATCTTCTTCTCCATACTCATCTCCGGCTGATTGATCGGCAATGGTGGTGGTTGTACATCGGTGAACTCAGAAAGAAAATCGGCCACAGCTTGAGCCTTGATTGCCTCTCGTGAGCGGTATATGATATCGAATTCACCTAGTTCAATTGACCATTTGATGAGACGACCTGAGGTCTCAGGCTTTTGCAAGACTTGCCTCAGTGGGTGGGTGGTTGGTCAGCACAGCAATGGTATGAGACTGGAAGTAAGGTCTCAGCTTCCGAGCTGAAATAACTAGGGCGAGGGCTAACTTCTCGATCTCTGGGTACCTCGTTTCGGCATCCTGGAGAGCTCGGCTTACATAATACACGGGATGTTGAACCTTGCCTACTTCTCTGATGAGCACCGAGCTGACCGCTGTGGAAGATACGGACAGGTACAATAATAGATCCTCACCATGTTCAGGCTTGGACAGAAGAGGGTTTTGCCCATGTACTCCTTTAACTCTTGAAAAGCAAACTCACACTCAGGGGTCCAATCAATGAGTTTCGTCCTCCCCTTTATAGCTCGGAAGAATGGTTGACAACGGTCTGTAGCTTGGGATATGAATCGATTTAGTGCAGCCACACGGCCTGTTAGGCTTTGCACTTCTTTCAAAGTTCTAGGCGACGTCATGTTAAGTGGAGCTTGGATCTTTTCTGGGTTCGCCTCGATGCCACGCTGGCTGACCATAGGAATTTTCCCGAGCTAACCCCGAAGGCGCACTTGGCAGGGTTAAGCCTCATCTTATACCTCTTTAATACCTCGAAAGTTTCAGCTAGGTCTTGAATATGATGATCAACCGTGACACTTTTGACTAGCATGTCATCGACATACACTTCCATATTCTTACCGATCTGGTTGGCAAACATCTGGTTGACAAGTCGCTGGTATGTCGCCCATGCGTTCTTGAGCCCGAACGGCATGACCTTGTAGCAATAAAGACCTCGGTCTATGATGAACGAGGTGTGTTCCTGATCTGGTGGGTACATCAGAATTTGGTTGTACCCCGAGTATGCGTCCATGAAACTGAGGAGCTCATGGCCTGCGGTCGAATCGACGAGCTGATCAATACGGGGTAACGAGAAGCTATCTTTGGGACACGCTTTGTTCAAGTCAGTGAAGTCAACGCACATTCGACATTTTACAGGTGTCTTCCTCACCATGACCACGTTGGCCAACCAGCTTGGATAGTTGACTTCGCGAATGAAACCAATCTTCGTGAGCTTGTCCACTTCTTCCTTCATGGCAGCGTACCGTTCTGCATCGTAAGCTCGACGCTTTTGGCGTATTGGCTTGAAGGCGAGATCGATACTTAGACGGTGTGATATGATCTCGGGATCTATTCCTGGCATGTCTTCATATGACCATGCAAAGACCTCAGCATTCTCACGTAGGAAGTTTGTCAGCTCATCGCGAATTTGAGGGGGTAGTTGGGCGCCAATCTTGACGATCCGATCTGGGTGATTCTCATTGATTTGCACTTTCTCTAAATCCCCTCCTGGCATTGCTTGTTTTTTGTTGGTACCCTCTCGTGGGTCGAGCTCTACCCCATGGTCCATCCCATCTCGTTCTACAGCGTACGTCTCCATCCTCCCCTTCATTTTCTGCTTGGACGCCACGACGTAACACTCCCTAGCTTTTTGTTGATCACCCTTCACACATCCCACTCCAGCTTTGGTTGGGAATTTCATCAAGAGCATGTGGCTGGCAATGAAGGCTCGAAGAGAACATAAGGCTGGCCGACCTAAAATAACATTATAAGCAGAAGGGCATTCAACTATTAGAAAAGTTGTGAACACCGTTGTCCGTTGGGGTGCCGTTCCCAAGGACAGAGGTAGGGTGACGCTCCCAATGGAGTTGATGCTATCCCCAGTGAATTCGAGCAAAGGAGTGACCACTGGCTTGAGCTCGTCTCGTGCTATCTCCATCTGTTCGAAAGCTGATGTAAAGATGATATTGACCGAACTGCCTGTGTCAATGAAGACCCGTTTCACGCAACAATTTGCGATCTCAGCTTGGATTATGAAGGGGTCATCATGTGGGTGAACTACACCTCTTTCTTCTTCCTCGTTAAAGGTGATCGCCGAGTACCCGAGCTTGGGTGACT